CTAGTTTTACTCATTAAATTATCAAAATCTGTGGTTTTAAGACACTGCTCATCTTGCCCCATATGGCCATCTTGCCCCACTTTCACTTACCTCAATTATCTACTATAGCGGAGATATTAAGGTTCAAAGTTTTGGACCCCCCAATCCGAACCACCCTAGTGCAAACAACAAACCACTAAGCGGTCTAAACCAAAATTCTAAAATTATCTTGAAGCCACAGCTATCTGCTGAGCAGCTCACAACTATCAGTTGAATAAGTTAAACATTTTTTAAAATCTAAGGCACCCCAAAATCCCCATTTTTAGACATTTTTAAACATAACTTTGGCATACAATCAAATCGCATGGAAATTTTGCTGCATAATGTTGAGTAACTTTTTTTTTCATATCTGCTAACTCTACCGAGTTATAAATGCTTGAACATAATCAGGTTTTCTTAATTCCTATGAAAAAGGGGTAAAACTCATTCTTCATAGAAATTTTGAAAAACTGATTATGTTCAAGCGCTACATGGACATGGCAGGATTTCCATGCGAATTGATTGTATGCCAAAGTTATGCTTAAACATGTCTAAAAAATAGGGGATTTTGGGGTATCTTAGATTAAAAAAAAATGTTTAACTTATTCAACTGATAGCTGTGAGCTGCTTAGCACATAGCTTATGCTTCAAGACAATTTTCGAATTTTTGTTTAGACTGCTAAGTGGTTTTTTATTTGCACTAGGGTGGTTCAAAAATAGGGTGGTCCAAAACATTAAACCTTCATATCTCCGCTTTAGTAGAGAATTGAGGTATAGTGTAGAACAATTTTTTGCTCAGTTCGAGGCCCTCTACCACTCTGTTCAGTATTGACCATGACTTACCAGTCACCCTGTGTAGAAGAAGCGTTATAAATTATTTGTATATTTCGAATAGAATCGTACCAATCATTAATTTGTATCAGAAAGGACTCATTTATATTAGAAACCTGTTAATGCTTAACAATGTCGGGATCGTTATTCTTTAGAATTGCCAAGAACGGGGTTTTTTCGAGTTCCTTTAAATATCTTAGCAACAAAAACCAAACGTTCCAGCGAGTTTCACAAGTTTTAGGAGGGAGGGAGATTTTGTGGAAGAGAAATACTTCGCGATTCTTCCTATGGTGCATCCGGAGGCATTTCTTATTGATGTTTGCCAATCGTGTCTTATATTGTCGCAACACGTCCCACACCGCTAGTTGCGCTGTGTGTGCACCACACCTAACGCTTTCCAGGATATCCATTCGAAAATCTTCATCATCTTCATTATCATTACTTTCGCAATCACTTCTTTCAGCTTCTTGATTTTCAGTAAAATCATCGTGTTCCTGCTCGTGTTCCTGTTCGTGTTCGCGTGTATCGTCACACTCCTCATCCCCCTCCTCTTCCTCTTTTTCAGCATCCTCTGCTACTTCTATATCGTTATCCGCATCAGTTTTCTCTATCAGTTTACCAATCAATGCGTTCTCTTTCGAAAGAATGGATGCCAAAGGTCCTGTAATACCTGGTCCGAAAATTTTTTTCATTTCAAGAACAGTTGCAAGCATATTCTGCCCGTTGTCAGATGTTATGGCCACGATTTGTTTGTATTCGAGGCCAAATGATGCGATTTCTTCGTCGATAACTCTTGTAAGATTTTCTTTTGTTTGGCGCCCTGAAATTTCATGCGCCGCTGTATTTGGAGAAAGAAATATTTATATATTATATATATATATATAAGCAGCCAAAATTTCAGAAGATTTGATGCACCTACTGAAAAGTTACAGCTCTTTGAACTTTTTTTGGAGTGGCATTAAAATCATGGTGCGTACTTTAATATGGCCAGTACTGTATATATAACATTAAACATAAACACATTAGGGTGTGTCAACTTTGCAACCCCTTGCTCCTCACCGGTCTTTCGATGTGTATTATGGTCCCCAACAACTGTGTAAAATTTGAGCGAATTTGGTTGAGATCTGGTTTTGCAGTAGAATGTTAAGTTTGCATGGGAAAATGAAACTAGTCATTTGCATATCAAAAATTCAAACATTGCTCATACCTGGGATTGAGATTAAGAAAACTATGCAGAACAATTTTGCCGAAGATCGCAAATCGATTCGACTTATGTGCAAAAAGTTATGAACCGTTTACAGTGCTGATTAGAATAAAGTATACAGCGTAATTTTTTGTATCAACAAAAAATTTGAAAGAGCTGTAACTTTTTAGTAGATACAGTAAATCTTCTGAAATTTGCACAGCTTGTTGAACAAATAATAATAGATTATTGGTATAATTTGGTGTAAATATTCATCCTTTGTATTCTTGTAGGCTTGAGGCTTTTTGTTGCAACTTTTCAACAAAAGTATCGTATTCATCGAAAAATTGATTCTTTCACGTCAAAATCATTGATATATTTGATGTTTCTACTCGGTGTTACGTAAATAAGCGATTATGCCGAAGCTACTGCCAAATTAATAGATATATTCGATGTATTTCTACGGATTGCATATCTATCCTACGATAAAAAATCTCCATCTACTATTAATAAATATTGAAAAATATTTGACTCATGACCATTTTAGAGGGGAGGGAGGGTTTCAAAAGTTGTCTCTGACCATGTACTAGGTATGGCAAAATACGCTATGAGAGGAAGAGGGTGTCTAAATTTCTAAATCTGGGATTTCTCTCGCCAGGATTTTGGCATTTTTTCGACAAGCTTCCGCATCACGGAGCCACTCTTTTCCCATGCTCCCTCTGGTCCAAATTTGAGCCAAATCGGTCAACATTTACTCATTTCTAAAAGCGGGTTGAAGTTTGTACCTATGTAAAAAATCATCGAAACGTATGGAGTAATACCAACAATCAATACGAAACTAACGATTTTAAATTGGCTCACTACTTGACTAGCCTATTGGTCCCAAGCAAACGATTAACGTACCCCATTCTAGTCGAAATTCTAGTAGTAGTATTGTCTCTCTTTAATAGTTTTTGTTTGTCTTGTCCCCCCGTCTCGATGAGTCTCATCGTCGCCCACTGGTCACCATAGCCGGTCGAACTCCAGACGTAACTAGAACCGCACTACCATTCATACTGGCGACAACGCTCTGATGAGACAACGAAACTTTACCCCCAAACTCCTCCCTGATCCTATCCTTCGACAATGTACCTCTTTAACCTCGAGTAAGCGGCGAGTATTCGGCCCAACTCCTACTAGACATAGAATTAAGTGAATTTTGTTACAAACAAAGAACAATGAACTATCGGCTCCGTAAAGCTAACGCGATTGAGCCTCCCAAATAAACGAACTAGTTAAAAAAAAATCTAGTACTACACTGTGTTTGTTTTGATTCGCTATGAAAGTTTGACAGATAAAATGAGGGGTTAGTGGATTATCCTATGTTTCGAGGGGTGAATCGATTAGCTTGGGACCGAAGATAGTACCAGAGCTGAGCCAAAAAGTTGAGCTGGTTTCTTCGGGACCTTCTGGTCTTAGAGTTACCTCTATGGTAATACCATAGAGGTAACTCTAAGACCACTGGGTCCCGAAGAAAATCATTATTATTTTTGGCTCACTCAGTACCAGAACAACGGTCCCAAGCAGTCCCAAGCTATTTCACTCACCCCTGCATGTTCTGCATGAATCCACACACCCCTGATGTTATCTGTCAAACTTTCATAGCGAATCAAAACAAACATAGTGTAGTAATAGAATTTCAACTAGAATAGGGTACGTTAATCGTTTGCTTGGGACCAATAGGCTACTAAAGTGGTGAGCCAATTTAAAATCGTTAGTTTCGTATTGATTGTTGGTAATACCATGACTTCAGTAGGTATTTCGGTACTAGGTGGCGTTGTGAACGTTTCAATACCAACACCTAACCCTAACACTTGTCACACTAGGAACTAAAAATGCATAATGGATTTGTTCGTTACTGTTTTAACCCTTCGCCAGTATCAGTCAGACAACCTTCAATGAAATGGTAATAACTTTGGATAAACTCGAATCGTCTTGCGGTCTTGGACAAAGTTGTTGTGCATAAAATTTCCTATGAGAATCTCAGACTTGATGGTGATTGACACGTTCACAATGCCATCTAGTGGCGAAATTCTGAAGTCATGATATTTCTCTGTAGGTCTTGATGATTTTTCCCATACAAACTTCAACCCGCTTTAGAAATAGGTAATTGTGGACCGATTTGGCTCAAATTCGGACCAGAGCCTAAGGGTGGCATGAGGAATAAGTGGCATCGTGACGCGGGAACGGTCTTTTTTGGGCACCCTAGTGTTCCAACACTTTTCTAGGGGCTTTCTTATTTAGGAGATTAAAAGTCGTGTAGGTTCTTCGAGGATATCCACCGGATCCACCTTAAAGTTCCCTGGACCTTTTCTTGGGGTTCGTAACATAGAATATCAGTGAATTAAAACCCAAATCTGCAGGGCATTATTTTGTTACAAAAGACACGGAGCCATTCATTACCTAACATTCCTCAAGCTTTTTGGGGCAAGGGGCTTCAAAAAATGTGCGACTCGTGCAAAATTTTAAACTTACTTATTCAAGACATGTTTCAACAGGAAAATAGGGAAAAATTTGACAAGGCATTTATGCAACTATATACAGTATCTACTATATTTACCAAGATGAAAAATCTGAATATTTCCGTCATCATCCGCTAGAGTTAAGTTGATTCCAAATATCGATTTCCCTTGACGCGTAGCTGAATCAACTTTCAGACACACGAGTTTGTTCCGGAACAGATCGGACATGAGTTTCCGCATTATTTCAGCAGCACGAGCTAAGTAAGTCGGTAACGTATTCCGTGTAATGGTAAGACCGCAAGCCTTCCATGAGGGACCCGCGAGCATCTGCATACCCTGCCACTGGGGAAACCTGATTGGTAGGTTATGTTCCGTAGCTAGCAGAAGCGTTCCAAGAAGCACTTGTTTTCGATCAGTTTCTGCGGTAATTTTGGACGACGACGACGGGCGAGGACGCTTTGCCGTACTTTGCTCGCCTCCACTGCCTTCCACTATCAAATCCAACCGGTGGGCGACATCTTTATGGCACGAGATGAGATGGCGCTTGAAGTTCCCCGGAACAAAATTAACCTGCTCGTAGCTACACTGCCGCTCAGCATCAACGTCGGCCAAACACCGATATTTGGTCACTCCTTCCGCATCAGTTTTTACCTCCACCACGTCCCTCAATTTTTGTTTCAAAGCACCTCGGTTCATTGCGATTTTTATTTTCCGCGTCGAGTACTAACTATAATGGTCCGTTATCGGCGCGAACGAATAATGCGAATGATACAAATGCAAATGAAGCGAATGATACGAGCGATACGAACGATACGAACGGTAACGAATGAAACTTCTTCTTCGACTTTTCATGAGTGGGCCGAATCGAGTCTGAAATGGAGATAGCACGAACAGCACGAACATTTCTCTCTCCCAGGTCACTCACCGAGACGCATCGCATTGACAGCGTTTGATTCATTCGAGAGTACATGCTTTGTTGCATCTGTTTTGACTACTTCTGGGAACATTGAACGAATTTGAGTGGTACGAAGCGATAATCAGCAACCCTGGTTGGTTGTAAATGCTATCTAACATGAAGCTTTAGTGTGATAGTTTATTAGCTAGAGAATGATCTTAGTAGGTAGGTAGATAGTTCCGTTAGAGTACCGCTACGCGTATGAAGTAACATAAAAACAATGTTTGAATGTAACAACTCAAGGTGGGAGTAGCTGTCAACAATACTGATGATGGTACAGCACGCAACAACCACCCTACTGCTTTCTCTCTGAGATGTCTACGAGAGTACGCAACACAATAGCTGGGTAGAGAAAAATTCCATTATAACACACCATCGACTGGAAATGCTTTCGGCAACGTGGGGCTTTAGGTAGTGATGAAACGTCGCTAGAACTATTCCAGTAGTAAAGTAGTAAAGTTCTTCTTTATTTTGATTTGTTATGAGGTTTACAATTGCTAATACAGGGCAAGAGGTTAGCCAGAAAAGCTCTTCATCTTTGGTGAACTTTTTGATTTTCTATTGTACATGTTGTGTTTAACTGTGTAATGTTTTTAAATTTTCTTCTTGTGAAGTATATTGTTTGAATGTTTTAATTTGTTATTCTACCTACTTAACCTAACTTAACCTAACGTGCCAGATCCCTGACGATCTGTTGATCGGATCGCCTACAGCAATCTCTGAACCTTGCGATGGAGTCAGCTCTCCGTATCTCCAGTGTCTGAAGACCAGCCAGGTGGTGGACCTCAGAGTTTCTAGTCCGCGAGGGACTGTTTAGGATCAGCCTAAGGATCCTGTTTAGGATCCTTTGGAGTTTGAGGTGGTGGCATTTGGTGCAACTCTCCCAGATTGGCATCACGTACTCTATGACGAGAAGGATGATTTGTTTGTAGACAGCAAGCTTATTTTTCAGGGACAGGGTAGACCTTCTGTTGATGAGTGGATACAACGATCTTATCAAGATGTTGCCCTTGGTTTTGGTTTTGTCAACGTGCATCCTGAAAAGAAGCTTGCTGTCTAGTGTTAGCCCGAGGTACACGACCTCTTTGAACCATTCCACCACTGAGCCGTATAAGCAGATCTTATTATTCTCAGACGGAACAAGTTTGGGAGATTTTGAGTGTGGAAAGATGATGACCTGGGTCTTTGCCACGTTGATACGGATCTTCCAGCTGTTGAAATATTCAGACAGGACGTCCAGGCCTCTCTGAAGTATGGCAGTCAGAGCTCCGATGACCCTACCCTTGTAGACGATGGATGTGTCATCTGCGAACAGAGACAACGATCCACCATCAGGGAGGTGAACAGGTTGAATAGGATGGGGCCAAGGATGCTTTTAGAGAGGCTCGGAACGTCCTGTCCGATAGATAGTTGTTTATTATCTTCACTAGGAGGATTGGATGACCGTACTGCTGCAATTTGAACACCAGGCCATCATGTCAGACATTGTCAAATGCTTTTTCGACGTCCAACAACGCCATGGCAGATGTTTTCGAAACAGACTTGTTCCGTTTGAGAATGTTTGCCACTCGAGTCAGCTAGTGGACAGTCGAACGACCTTTCCGAAAACCAAACTGTTCCTCGAGTAAGATGTTGTTTTGTTCGGCAGATGTTAGGAGCCGGTGGTAGACTGCTTTTTCGAACAGTTTTGATAACCCTGAGAGAAGGCTGATTGGTCGATAACTTGAAGGAGAGGACGGATCCCTCCCAGGTTTCCGGATGGGTATGACTTTAGCTGACTTCCAACACGAGAGGAAGTAGCCACGTCTGAGGCACTGATTAAAAATCAGTGCCAGATGGTTGTAGAATCTGGAACTCAAGTGTTTGAGTTGCAGATTCAGGATGTTGTCGAAACCTGGGACGTTCATGTTTTAGATGATTTGACAAAGGCCAACAGTTCGTCAGCCGTAATCTCGGATTCCTCTGGAAAAATGTTAGGAATCTGAAGAAGATTGGTTGCATTTTCAGCAACCTCAGATTCATGAGGGCTGATGATGTTTTGTCCGAGATTATGGGAGCTGACGAAGTGTTGACCTATCGCGGCAGCCTTCTCTTCAGGAGTTATTAGATGAACCACTGGGTCGGTGGGACGATCCAGTGGGGTCAGTGGTGGAATGGGCCTAGACTTGTTTTTAAGAAATTTTGTAAGTTTCCAGTAGGGCTTAGCACAATCTGGGAGAGAGCGGATCTTACTAGCAAAATCGTTATTTCTGAGATCCACCATCCTGGCCTGAATGATCTTTGTTAATCGATTACAATTGGTCTTCAAGTGAGGCAGGCCAGTACGCTGATACTGCCTACGAATGGTGCTACGGAGTCTAATGAGATTTTTGGTAGGGCTGTCAAGGTTCAGAGTGTTACTCACCTGTCTGGATACTGGCACGTGTTGTTCCCTGGCCCGGGAAATCGCCTCCTGGATGGTTTGTAGACATCGGTCAACATCTTCGGACGTCCCCGGCTGGACATCGTAGTCGATGGTTGTGTCGACGCAGTGTTGATATTGCGCCCAGTTGACTCGATGGTAGTTGCGCTGGGAAGCTTCGAATCGGTTTACCGAGGATCCAACTTCGGCCACCACCGGGTAGTGGTCCAAGCTCAGCTCCTGGAATGCCACAGGTTGCGAGATGTTGTGTCCCATGTTGCTTACGAAGATGTCGATGGTCGCATGGACCCCAGACCGACTCAACCGGGTGGGAGAGTCCAGGCCCAAGATGACCCTCTTGCAGATCTTCATTCAGGAGTTTCGATTACTCCGACCGTTGCCCCAAGCTTAATGTTTTGCGTTCAGATCGCCAGCGATGATAAAGTTCCCGCCCCTTCGGGTGAGTTTGATGACGTCTTTGCGGAGGGCCACTGACGATCCGTCCCTGATGTTGGTTTGCTTGGGGCAGTAGGCCGCGATGATGGTGATTGGGCCAAGTGATGTGCTCACCTCCACTCCGATGGCTTCAATTGTTTTCAGCTGGAAATTTGGTAGCAGCCGCCAACTGATGTTCCGTCTTGCAGCGATGGCCACTCCTCCACCTCCAGAGCAGGTGCGATCAAGTCTGACGAGCCGAAAGTCGGGAAGGAATACGTTCAGATCGGGCTTCAAGTGCGTCTCAGTGATGACAGCAATATCGACCTCTTTGGTGTTGAGGAAATCGAGTAGTTCTCTATGCTTGTTCGTCAGTGAGCAAGCGTTCCAATTTGCAATTTTTATAGCTTCACGGCCCATACTTGGTGACGAGTGACAAGGTAGCATGAAGCTATTCAGATCGAGTCTTGCAGGTGCGCAGAATAACCTCTGCAACCAGCGTTACTAGTTCCTCTGGTGGTGCACGTTTATTTCGATGCCGGCCTGGCTGGTTGCTAGTAGCCACCTTCTTCCTCATGGTGATGAATTCCGTTCGCTTGGGGCAGTCCCGAGTAGTTTCACGGTGAGTTCCGCCGCAATTCACGCACTTCGGGTCGGTGTCATCAGCTTGAGCACAGGTCTCCGTAGAGTGGACCATAGCACACTTGTCGCAGCGTGGTTTCATATGACAGTTCTTCGTGCCATGGCCGAAGGAGAGGCAACTTGTGCATTGGGTCACATCACGGTGTTTCGGCTTGTAGTATTTCCAGTCGATAATGACCTGAAACAGGTCACGTATGTTGCTCTTGAGCGCAGCAAGGGTCGTGGAGCCCTTCGTGAGGTGGACCAGAAACAGTTGGTCACGATAGTTGGAATTGGGCATAGGCCGTCGATTCATTAGGTGGACTGCCTATGGTTTCAATCCGAGCCTCACCAGTTCATCTTTTACGGTAACCGCTTCGTACGACGGCATACCTCGTAAAACAACCTTCAATGGTTTCATCGAAGGCAAATCGTTAGTGTAAAACTCCAGTGTGCTGTTCTTCAGCAGGTCACCGACCGACTTGTACTGCTGTAGGCTGGAGCACATGATCTTTGTTCCAACGGTACAGATTTTGAATCGCGGGAACAATTTGCGTTTTTCCAGCTCATCAGTAAGCTGGGAGACGTCCTTATCGGGGTAAACAACGGGGGAATCCGCTCCTTTTTGACGATTTCAGCGGCGTCACCACCGCCATTTTCTACTTCGAGCACCGGGAATTAGTTGCTTTGTAGCAGCCGATTTGCTGCGTCATCCGAAGCAGTGCTGGGATTCGGTAGGGCCTTAGTGGGTTATCAGGTGAACCATAACAATCCACCATCCTGGCTTGGATGATTTTTGTCAGGTGATTACCGTGGGTCTTAAATACAGGCAGACCAGAGCGTTGGTACTGCCTTCGGATTGTGTTATGGAGTCTTATAAGGTCTTTGGTAGATCTGTCAAGGTTCAGAGTATCCAGAGGAAACTTGGAATCGGTTGACGGATGAGCCCACTTTGGCCACCGCCGGATAGTGGTCCGAAATCACTCCTGTTGGCTCACAGGTTGCGAGATGTTGTCTCCCATGTTGCTGATGAAGATGTCGATGATGGAGTGCACGCCGTACCGACTCAGCCGGGTGGGAGAGTCCAGCGCCAGGATGGTGTAGTGAGCCTCTTGCAGGTCGTCGTTCAGGATGGTGCCGTTTTGATTCCGCCTTTGGTTGCCCCAAGCTTGATGTTTGGCGTTTAGGTCACCAGCGATGATGAATGTTGTACGGCGTCGTGTTATGTTGACAATATTCCTTCGCAGGTCTGCCGTGGATCCATCCCTGGCGATTGCTTGTTTC